CTTCAACCCCTGCACTCATGAGTCATGAGCATTTCAGTGAGTTTAACATGGGAACCCGTTCACACGCGGAGTCTTGTTTTCTCACAGGAGAAAGCAAAACACTGCACACAGTCTTTATGCATTGTCATGTTTTCTATGACGGGTGAGGAATGTAGGCGCACTGACCACGTATGCAGTGGGGCAGAGGGTGAGAAAAAGAACCATGAACTGTGTACGTCAAAGCTCAGGTGATATGCCTGGAGGGCTCCAAAGGACTCCTAGGAAGTATCCAAGGTGACATAAGCTGCACTGTGCCCCTGTGCGGGCCTGCCAGCACAATCCGTTCCACCAGCCTCAGCCAGCACAAGGCCTCCCTGGGGAATTCAACTGCACCCACACATGCCAGCAGCATTGTGTAGATGCCCCTTGCACTAGAGCAGCACACCTGATGTGAGCTCTTCTGCCCCATTAGACCCATTCCGCCCACTATGTCCAAGGTCTAAAATTACCAAACTGCACTACTGCCTGCTGGTGCTCCAGCCAACGGGCATCGGCTGCAGGGGCCAGAGGGACTACAGCCTACATGGTGTGACTCGCTGCGTTCATTTATCACACTGTAAGACTTTCAACACAGAAATGCCTTTATACTTTGTATGCAAGCGTGTGTATGTGTGTGTGTGTAAGGGGCACAACAAATGGCTTTAATTTTCTAGGTAGGGTCTAGACAGCAGAAATACTCAAGCCCTTTTTTAAAAATCCCTTTCAGCTGTCCCACTCAGGACCAAAGCACGGCTTCATCAGCTGTCACAGTCAATCTCACTTTTCCCCCAAGTGATGCTAGCGACTTAAAGCTGGGTATCTGTGTCTCCAGCTGGAGGCACAAGCAGGAGGTGGTCTCGTCATCACTCAACCTGAGGCAGTGCAGAGAGGAGCTGTTTGTTCTCTTCTGGCAAACAGTTTCAGTGCTAACCTCAGCAGCACAGAGAAAAGAAACACAGCTACCAAGTATTTGCATGTTCTGTCCTTCTCCTTCTGGATCATGCCTCTGAGTGGGAATGAGATTGTCAGCCAGATGCAGAAAACAACAAATGTTTCTCTACAACAGGAAGTGGTCTTGATGAAGGAGGAGGTTGTGAGGCCAAAAGGGAAGGTGACTAGACCACTGAAAGTCCAGAGGTTTGACAATCCCAACCTACACCACTATGCAGTCTCCAGGCAACTCAGTTCTAGTTTTCTTAGCATGTTTTTCATAGAAAGAACAGTAATACAGCTCTTTTCTAATACAGTTAAAAACAATCATTCAAGAAACTACCACAAGTGCAATGCAAAATCTTGAGACATCTAGATGGGTGGGAATAACAGTGAGCAGTGTATAACCATCTGCCAATGCACAGCAGTACTGCCAATGACCTTTGGCACAGGATCCGTGCTCTCTCCTCTTCTTCTTGGCATGAATTTCCTATGCTAACTTTACAGTTGATGATCACATCCCTTGCCAATTTCCCCATGCTAGGGCATTCTCAACTGGCAAGAACTGGTTACAACTGGTTCCTTACTGGCACTACAGATAGAACAATTAGGAGATTCGCCATGCCTGTGGCATGCACCAAATCTCTTTCTCTCTGCAGAACTGTGTTACAATCCCTATATGTTTGGCAGAGTCTAAAGCTAGGAGGATCTAGCATGATGGGATTTTCTGCGATATCCCTCTAAAATCAAGAAAACCAAATTCTTTGAGTCTAACTAACCATTTGGGATATCAGCAACATTTTGGACACCTTGAAGATCTACAGCTTGGTGCATGTTAGGGGTTAGGGGACAGGTTAGGTGACAAGTGGCTGGAGAGCAGCACTTGTGAAAGGGACCTCGGGGTGCTGGTTGACTGCAGGCTAAACATGAGTCAGCAGTGTGATGCGGTGGTCAAGAGGGCGAACGCCACCCTTGGTTGCATAGCCAGAAGTGTGGCTTCTAGATCAAGAGGGTATTACTACCACTCTACATGACTCTGGTGCGCCCACAACTGGAGAATTGTGCTCAGTTTTGGGCCCCTCATTACAGGAAGGATATAGCCAG